ACATGCACTGTAATTTTATTTTTATTCACTTTTGCTGGACAGTAAGTTGCTTGAATATGTTTAAATCCGCATATTACTATGTGGAACTTTACCGTGCATGAATCCATGTCGATTTTCACAATTTAGGCGAGTATATTTTGATAATTCAATGTAGCCAGCGTTACCCGGAAGTACAGAGTCGAGACACTGTGAACTTATTTTAACATGCTGAGTAATAAATATTGTTCTACCATTTATGAAACGTATTAATCTGAAAAATCAGAAACTAAACATTTCATTGCACATGAACGGGGAATTTCCTGAAATCTTTTACGTTTTACGTACACGTGTCTTAATATATTTAATAGTATACCACACACATATTTATGGTAAATTGTTGTTGCGTAACAAATCTTGGGTCATTTCAGTTTTTGTCCACCCCTCCCCACTACGGATGGATATTAAGGTTATGACACCAAGGTAACCAACACACACCCCCTGGAAACTTCACTGATTAGACGTATACGGATGGGTATTACAACAATTTTATTAACTCATAACAACCTACTGAAGGAGGTTAAAAGTTACAACAACAACAAAAATTACAGAGAAAAATTAATCAAATTACAATGTGAAAAATTTAAATATCTCAAAAATATGACACCTCTCGGAATTAAACCATCCATACTTTTTGTAGAAATATGACCTCTCAGATTTAAACTATCCGTGAGGGGGATTGGGGTTGTTGGACAAAAACTGGAATGACCCCTTGTTCCACCAATAGCTCTAGGGTTTCTCAATTACCAATAGATGAACAAATCAGACAGTGTATATTGTCTGGAAAAATGATATAAAATTTGTTAAAATCTGTCATGTTTTTTTGTCTTCAAGCCTTGGTTTATTCAATAGTATTCAAGTATTGTATATTGTTTTTCCATTGTAGCTATGAAATAGGCTTGGTTACACATGAAATTACGGTCTATGGGTCACAGTACCATTTGTGTCAAAACTGAGCTTATTCTTGCCGGTCAAAGTGTACCTTTAGTGTGTGTGTACATGGAGAATAGAAAATCATAAAATTGCATGAATATTAATAATATTAATAATTTCATTTTCATTTATTACACTATAATGAAAGTTAACAAATCATTTTAGTCTGTTATGTAATAAATTTTATAAAAATAAAAGTTATAGAAAATTAAGATAAATGTAGAGATAGTGTGATAATATACAATTATGTATGATAAGTACATGTCTATGTGTCATGTTTCTATGTGTCATGTCTATATGAATACAATATGAATAGTAGTTTCTTTTAAATGCTGTTCTTCTCCCTTTTGACTAATATCACATATTTTTGGCAATCAGAGTGAAGTACGTCCTTGAATTTTGGTTTCCCGGCATCTCTAATAAATAACTGTTGATATCTTAAAGCAGTGAGTCATCACCTGAGCGTGGGACAGACGGCCATAGCATGTCGTTGTTTACAAACATTACCCATGAGCCTTTGCATGTTTGGCATGTGTTGTTATTGTTGCTTGGGACTTCGCTTTAACAATAGCTTGATCAAATGATTAAAAACTTGGTACATGCATATTATTTTTGTAGCCGAAAGTTGAACACTACTTTGGAATTAATCAAAATATGATAATTAGCTAATCTGCATACCAATTAACTACTTTCATAGCAACTTTTGTTGATATCCGAGCTATAGTTTGCTCAAATGGTTTGAAGCATGGTGCATGCATTATACTAGCCATTGTAGTGAAAATCCTCCTGATTCAAGCATTCCCGCTCGTTTCAGGCATATGTGGATAGATTATGTTTATATTCAGTACATGAATGATTGCATTCATGTTTTGTCAATACCTGTTGTAGAAAATATTTGCTCATGAACTCTTATATAATCATATTTTTTATACTTGTTTATTTTTTTGTGTCATTTATTTCAGGAGCCTTTCTCAGTCCTTTTGCTTGTATGGATCAATGTCAGGTGATCACCCGGACGATTTTAAAGCTGGGTATATAGATTGCAATTCACCATCTATATCACCATCACAATCACCAGACAACCCTAACCCAACAACAAAGGCAACAACTACACTGCCAAGTACGACTAAAAAGCCAGCTGCTGTAACACCTACCCCTGCAAAGGCTTCTCCTGTCTTACCAGTTACTGAGAAACACACCACATTGCAATTGACAACTCGTGCGATAGTCACCACTGCTACACCTCAGAACTCAAGCTCAAACAGCACCTCAAACAGTACGTCTTCATCAGCTGCTCCAGTCGTTGCAAGTAAAAATACAACCACAGTTTCACCATCTGGTAGTGATGTTCAAAAGCGTGACGTTTCTGATCCAATTCCTACATGTATCATTTTCAAGTATTTTTCTTCTAGTAAACTGATTTTTGGTAATTCTACTTGGAGAGCTAATTTCTCTTGTGACGTTACTGGAATTTGTGAGAACATGGAATATCAAGATAATATCATGGTATATATTTTACTGTTTGGTTGTTTACTTGCCTGTGTAGTGTAAACATGTTTTGGTTGTTTACATACCTGTGCAGTGTAAACATGTTTTGGTTGTTTACTTGCCTGTGTAGTGTAAACATGTTTTGTTTGTTTACTTACCTTTGTGGTGTAAATATGCTTTGTTTATTTACATACCTGTGTAGTGTAAACATTTCTTGTTTACTTACCTGTGTAGTGTAAACATATTTTGTTTGTTTACTTACCTACCTGTGTAGTGTAAACATTTTGTTTACTTACATGTGTAGTAAACATGTTTTGTTTGTTTACTTACCTATGTATTGTAAATATGTTTTGGTTTGATGAGATGATTGTTTGGTTTATCTTTGTTTTTCACAGTTCAATAATACCAAAGGCAAACTGTATTGTTGCAAAGGAAATGACTGTAACACACGTGATTGGTTAGACAGAGTCAAATTTAAACCCATTGTAAGAGATTGTTATACTGGTTCAATCACTACTGAAGAGACAGCAGGTCAGTGTTAAATCTTTTACAATCAAGTTTTGCAAACTGTCCATCTTGAACAGAATGCTCGCAGGCAAATTAGTTTTGATATTTTATCCACTGTAGCAGGTGAAACATGCAGATACTTGGTCAGCATAATTGTGTCCCTTCTTTAGTCTGATTGTGTTAGAGGGAAATGAAATATTCAAGGGCCTTCATTTAATGAGTTGACTTATTGAATATGTTTCAGTTCGATTGGAAAACACTACGTGTGCTGAAGAGAAAAGCCACTATTGTGTTAACATGACAAATGTGAAGAATGTAACAACATTTTCCTGTGCTAATGATGCTTTCAAAAAATATTGCTTTCAAAATGAAGGACAAAGCTGCTTTACAAAAGAGGTAAGGTGTCAATCGTTTCTATATCGTCACTGTACATACATTGTTGCTTTTATACCTGTACAAAATCAGACTTATAGTGCCTGTGAAATTTTCTTGCCCAAAATCATTAATTGGTACATCAATATTATTATTTTTTAAGTACAAATTAAATGTTTAAAGTGAAAAAAAATGGCTTTCAAACTTAATCTACGCCAATTTTATTTTTACGTATTTTAAAACGAGGTTCCTCATTAACTTCTCTTCTTGTGACGTATGAAGGTGAACTTGCTGGTCAGCGTCTATTGCCGATAATGTATATAATGTATATTCAATGTTCCGGTCTTTAAATAAATGCCACTCATGTACTTGTTTCTCGAGGAAGAGTAGACCATAAAAAACACATCAAGTTTATCATATAGGGTTGAGTGAGATATGAAATATATCCCTTCTGCTGGTCGCCGCGATCGACTGTGTACTGCACAACCAGAGTCGCTTGTATTGTGGTCAATGAAGTCAGTTGAAGTGCCGACATCTATTGTCATAGAACTCTCCAAGATACACTGATGTATTCCATCGATCGTCTAAGTGAAAAAAAAAAGATTTAACTATAGCTATCAATGAAATATAGAAATAATAAAAAATATATAACTCGTAAATCACAGTTACTAAATGATAGTCGCATACAAGTAGTTTCACAGCTGCTGGGCCCTTATTTGGGGGTTCACAATTTCGGACTTCTATTTTCATTGAAAAATCCACCTACACCGACTTTCATCGCCAGCAGTTTGACCACCCAAGACGAAAGAAACGATTGCAGGAGCTAATCTAAAATTTAAACCTAAAGTTTGATTACAATGTCACCCAGTGTCATCTTTCTCCGAAATAAAATCACATTAACGAACCTGGTACGCCAAATATCTAAGTATATATATATCTTTATTCAGTACTATAGGCCATGGGCCTTACATGTACAATATTAAATATTCTTGGAAATAAATAAATAAATATAACCCTCCCACAGTCATTCCATAAGTTTTCGGCGTTTCTGTAATGAAAATAAAATAAACTTGCCTAGATTTACTAATGTATTTGAATTACTTGAATTAATTAACGAAATAAACTTCCATTCTGTTGCTGGAGAAAAATAAAATTGTGGAATATATTTTAGCCTAAGATTGGCATATTGTGGGCAAATTAGAAGCATGTGATATTCATTTTCAATTTGATTACAACAAAATGGACAAAACCTCAGTTCCAGTGGAATGCCCATCCCTCTCCCAGTCCCAACCATTCTTGCACAGAAATATCAAACCTTCGTTGTTTAAATTCATATAGAAAGAGGTCATACTTAGCCACCTGTTGTTTTACCCATACTTCACCAAAACCATATTTATTTAACAAGTTTTTGACGTACAGTGCCCAGCAATTTAGCCCCTGGTTTGCCCGAGTATAGTGGTATTGATAACAATCTTTAACAGTTTCTGGGGAGTCTGCTTTTAAACATTTCAACCAAAAACGAATTATTTCAATGTTAATAAATGTATGTATTTGGTGTCTACCC